TAGAGATATATTTGTGTGATGTTATAATCATTTATGTGTATAAACGTTTTACTTTTTTAATCTTTTTACGATTCGAGGACAGTTCTCGACTTGACTGCCTCATTGACCGAGTGATCGCAAGTGTGACTGCCGGGCAAGGGGTCTCGGGTTCGGTTCCCAGGTCGGATAAAGTATTACTGGGTTTTGTAAAAAATCTCAGTAGTAGCCCGGAGTCTGGAAATGTGCCCGGTATATGGCAATACACTCACCCTATATTACATGGGCCTCATAATATAAATAGTGAAGAGTGGGTGTGACATTGTACAGTGGCATTAAGCGCCGTAATGTGCACCTCTACCTACCCCTACGAAGACAAAAGGCATGATGTTATGTTATGTGAGAGTCCTCGACTATTTTTAGCGACTGATAAACAGGACTAGTATATATGTGGACTTTGCCGATAGTTTGGTTCCAAAGTTAGATGTGCAATATTTATCACCGGGTACTGTACATCATTATCAGTTACGCATCATGTCATACGCGTCATACATCATATCTAACTTTACAACAGAGAGAACAGCTGAGAGGCACTAAAGATAAGGTTCTTCCGTGAACGTTCCGTTATAAAATCGACGAAGAAAATAACTTTTTCAAACTACTAGTATCATAGAGATGAGATCGTCTTTGATGGACAATCACTAATTACAATGAGTTTAGTTTTGAAATGCCCGAAGTACTGTCTTGGGACAGTCTACAGACTACTGTAAAAAAAGTAATGTATTATTATAAAAGAACGATCATATTGATGACGTTATGTGACAAAGCCCAATTGACCACACAGTTCAAAAACCAATTCAACAGTTAATTGATATAACAAACCCTTTGACTAGAGAGCAACAGAATTGGTTCAAAGTTAACCCTCAATTATAAGCCGTGACTCAGAAATTCACTCGTAGAAATTGTTAATAAAGCAACTTGTACAAAAGTAGGAAAGTCTTTATTGGCTTGTAATGGTCGTTACCATTGGCACGAAAGTACTTTCATGAATACAGAGCAAATAAAGGTCCCATTTAAGGTTGCTGAGTCCCGATTCAGTCATTAATAATTCATTTTCGACCTCGGGACATTCGATAATATCGTTCCTAATTGTGAAACTCAGCGACAATTTCAAAGAACAGGCTCAGTTGTAGGACAGGTGACAATCGCTTTATTTATTCAAACATGAGTTATAATGTGAGCAAGATATCATATAAATTCATGGAATATATATAGAGGTGGTGAGAGCAATAGTAAATCTTTAGATAACTACTAGGGTTCATTATTTACCTTCTACTTTATCAGAGCTGCTTTAGTTCTGCAAAGATTGGAAGATCAATAATCACACTGAGTTGATTTAATACAACGTTTACTTTACTTCATCAAATCGAGTTGATTTAAGACAAGGAATACTGCTAATCTGATCCATTACAGAACCTTCTATTCCACGGAGAATACTGAAATCTATTTGCCTTCAAGATCACTCGACAGGTGTAGTAAACCTTTAACGATATATTCGATGTCTAAAGAAAAACTCTCTTTCAGTTCGGAGCAAATGATCCCCAATGGTAAGCCAAACTGATGAATTCTATTGGAAGCAAAAAAAGTATGATACTTTGACCAAAGTGAGGGTAAAATGGACATTTTAGGGCACCGATTTCCCGTTGCCCATTAAAATGTAAAACGTGTTATTGTATGCTTAGGCATAAAATGTAACTGCCCACAAGACCCATAAAAGAGGGGTCTTACATAAATATGCAACCGCTTCCTGATCATGGCCTACATAAAATCGCGATTTGAAAAGTTTAGATTTATTGGATGAATCGTTTTATTACCGTTAGCGGGAATTTATGACAAGTGATAACAGTTGAAAGCCATTCGGTTAATTTACTTCATTTTACTCCCTTATTCATATGTAGATGGTTTTTGGATTACAGTACTTCAGCTTGAAAGAGAATAACTTTCCCATGCAATATTTTTTTGATTAGGCAACATTTTTCTAGACTACTGCGTCTACATCTGTACTGGATTTAATCATCCAATGAGTTCTCCGCTCGGGTGAGGTGAGAGGGAGTGTCAGACAGGAGTAGGAACGGTGTGGTTTTTAGTCAGTACTCTTACTGACTAAAAACCACCCCGTTCTTACTCCTGGTCTTCGAGCCGAAGCTACGGTAACCCGTTAAGTCTTCCGAGGCCTCAGCCTTTTCGAAAATAGGCCTACATAGTAATTAGAGGTACTTTAAATGAAACACTCATAACTTACCAACCCCAATCAGAATGTAAAAGGCTTCATACAAAACACCACTAAATGAAAGTACAACCAATATAAAAGCCTTTGCGGTATTTTGAAACCCTTTAAACAAATCTCTTAGTCCTTTGCTAACCGCTTCAAAGCACGTTTTACAATATTGACGTAGTTTTCATAAGCTTAGTGAGAACAGATTCAAACCCATTGGGTCTATTTGTCATTGTAACTAATACCTTCTAGCAAACTGCATAGACTTCAAACATACGATATGAGAAAAATGGCAGCATAGAGTGATGGATGAATGCACACTGCACCGGAGTGTAGAGGACGGATTTCATTTTTATAAACTCTTTTATATCTACGTTTGCTTTATGGTCTCTGGCCATTTTTGAGTGCTTTATGTTTCTGTTGTGGTTTATACTATTTTAAGAGCTCTGATTTCAGTTTTTTTTTGGCTTCAAACGGGACTGTAAGTAATTGTTGGCCCGGAGGTTTAAGACGCTCGCTTCTCATGCATGAGGGTGCGGGTTCGAAACCTACCAACGGCAAGTACCAATGTTACTTTTTCAGAGTTATACGTACTTTCTAAGATTATCTAGACACCACTGACAAACGGTGAAGAAAAACATCGTGAGGAAACCTGGACTTATAATTTCTAATTATAAGTTTGTAATCGCCAACCTGCATTGAGCAAGCGTGGTGATTAATGCTCAAACCTTCTCCGTGTGGGAAGAGGCTTTGCTCACAGTGGGCATTTATAGGCTGTTGATGAAGTAATTGTTACAAGGAATAAGGTTTTAGAGACAAAAAACCTAAGGTCGTCAGGACATCAAAAAGCACGAACTCTTACTTTGATATAGACCTACTCAAAACTCGCATTGGTAGTCACTCGATCACCGAAACAGTCGCAGGGAAAACATCATTCAATAATACTGAATTGTTTAAATAAAACAATCACAAACAATCCATTTTCTGCTTCATATAAAGCGAATTTCTCAGCTCAAACAAACACTTCGTTCGCGTAAATGCATACAGAACTAAAACAATGCTTCAAATGTTTGTAAATCCCAATTAAACTAAGAGTTAAAAGGTAAGTAAGTACAGGAGAATGGCGTTGGGAGCACGCTTGATAACCGCACTCTGCAACTTCATTAAAGTTTGGCTTTTGGCTAAGCTGTGGCGAGTACCTGGTGCTTGGCTTGGCTCAGTTAACTGCCAATCAAATACGGAAACTTGGAACACGAAACTTAACACCTTAGCTTTAAGGAAAGATACTTAAGATTTTTTTATATATTTAAAATAAGAAGATAAAAAAATATGTTTTTTATTTATATATATAACACTGGTAGAGGTGAAATAGCTTCCGACCCATCTTACTGAAAGGAAATGTTTTACTGTTGCGAGATTGTGGTTAACCATGCTGCTATGACCTATGCCTGTAATTTTCTACCTAGGTTATTGACTATATCTACATTATTTTTGGGTACTCGATTATATCTAAGTGATGTAATTAAATATAATCGCTTCTAACCTAACACTGTATTCTGTTTAAAGACATACGGTTAATAAGCATTCCATCATCTACATAAACATGAATGTCCCATTATAAAACTCCTCAGAAAATCCCCACATTAACTTAAACATTATTCCCTAAAGAGTGACTGCATAAATTTTTAGATGCTTGCTTTCAATAAAACTTTTATAATCCTAGCAACTAGCCGACGCTCATTGGCTCAACAAGGAAAAGAACCGACGAAATAAACTTCAAACTTTCTTTTATAAACTTTACCATCGTTTGAAATAACTGCAAACACAATTCAACACCTGCGGGATTATTTTACCCCGAACTCGGACGAAAATTAAAGCGCTCTGGGGCTTAATTTGTCTGAACTGAATGTGATTACCGGTTAAGTTAGAACGACAAATATAACTTGTTGGGGTGTGGGAAAACAAACGGGAACCTTAACAAGTTAACAACGTCATATTACGGTGAGGTACTTCGACTTACTTGTTATATATTATTAAGTTAGTATAGAAAAGACTACCTCATTGGCCGAGTGGTTGCAAGTGCGACTGCCGGGCAAGGGGTCTCGGGTTCGATTCCCGGGCCGGGTAAAGTATTAGTGGGATTTAAAAAAAATTCTCAGTAGTAGCACGGAGTCTGGAATTGTGCCCGGTATATGGCAATAGGCTTACCCCCTATAAAATGGGACTCATAACATAAACAGTGAAAAGTGGGTGTTACATTGTACAGTGGTAATGTGCACCTCTACCTACCCCTTCGGGGATAGAAGGCGTGATGTTATGTTATGTTATTAGTATAGAAAACTAGACTTGTTGACCACGGTTTGGGAGAGTGCCCTATCACTACATATTATAAAACGCTTTCGGCTATATGTGTGTCTGTATGCTTAGATCTTTAAAATTATGTAACGGATTTAGATGGGCTATTTTTAATAGATTGAGCGATTCAAAAGGAAAGTTTATATGAATAATAACTGGGTCGGGCAAAGGATTACTGGGTTTAAAAAAAAATCTCAGTAGTAGCACGGAGTCTGGTAATGTGCTCGGTATATGGCAATAGGCTCACCCCCTATTACATTACATTACGTAATATGCACCTCTGCCTACCCCTTCAGGGATAAAACGCGTGATGTTATGCTATGATATAATCAAGAATTAATAAACTAATTTTTACCTTGATAGCCGAAAAGGTCCCGTTGAAACCATACTTAAGATGCGCTATACAGATGTGGTAGGGGCAGATTCGTCGAAGGTAATTGGTGAGAAACTGCCAAGAACCGAGAGATATAACGAAATCTCTCGTCGGAGGCCAAGATCCACTTTAGATCGATGAGCCACCACATAAGTAAATGTAATAAAACCTTCGATTATTGTTGCTATATCGAAACATTTAAAAATATTGATAAGTACTCAATATGACAATACACTTTGTGGATTAAAGTAATCTAAGCGTTCGGTATTGAAATTCTAGCCGAAAGTAACAAATTTCCCTTGAAACTACATACAACATGACAAACCCATATAACCCATTTACATTTTACACACAAAATAGGCACATAATGATAAGTCGAAACACATATACATAGTTTAATGAACAGCAGTATGAAGGCTCACCCAATGCTGAGTTAATTTGGAGTCCCATCTGTCTCTCAATACCTTCAGGATAGGTACTATTAGGACTGGAACGTACACGACTCCATAGCGAGGCAGATCTTTTTCTTAAAACAGCGAAAAGCCGTCTGTGTGTGCTTCCGTAAAGCGACAAAGACAGTTCTAAACATTGATAACAAAATTATAAGACCACAACTTTACTTAGACATAACTCCTAAATTACATTAGGTAAGGTTATCTCTTGATTTCTAACGTAATATTAAACGTGTATCTCCGGTTTCAAAATCAAGGGTCTCCCGATTTTAATCAAATACCAAGTTTATCGAGACAAGACAGAACACTTAGTTAGTTGTACAAACATTGACACAATCTTTGAAATACAAAACAAGACTTGAAATTCATATCAATAACATTATACCTATATATAACATACTAGCTACTTCCGCGCGGTTTTACATTCTCTGCTCAGCTCCTGTTGGTCGTAGCGTGATGTTTTATAGGCTATAGCCTTTCTCAATAAATGCACTATCCAACACAAAAAGAATTATTCAAATCAAACTCGTAGTTACGGAGATTAGCGCGTTCAAACAAACAAACAAAGAAACAATAAAACAAACTCTTCCGCTTTATATAATAGTATAAGAGTATAAGATTGATATTAACATATTTTCATACCAGATTAACTAAAAATCTCGGGTTACTCACGTGAATATACTAAGAAAAGCTCCACTAGTTTCTCTAACTAAACTCTACAGTAGGCTGCGCGACATCGCCGCGACCGCGCACACTGCTCATTATGAAGAACCCCTCTGTGGTTCAAAACTGGTAGAGCTTTTCTCAGTATATTAACGGGAGTAACCCGCGATTTTTAGTTAATTTAGTATGTCTCACGATAGTTATTATAAAAATATTTTCATACCTTTCATTTACCTAAAAGTTGGATGCATTTTATTTCTTTTATAAACTACATTTTAAAATCCCGAATGCAACCCCTTCATTTTTTAAGTCGGTTAATTAATATACTAAAACCTTCTCCTAAATGTAACAAACACTTTTCTGAGAACCGCATCAAAATCAATCAGTTCAGTCAATCGTGAGATAATCTCGCACAAACAAACATACATACATACCTACATACATATAGGTCAAATTGAGAATCTCTTATTTTTTCTTTTTGAGGTCAGTTTAAAATGTAACTCCCACTTTTCACCAGTTATAAGGCTTATGTAATAAGGGTTAGCCTATTGCCATTTAGACCTCGTGATATTTCTTAAATTTTCTTAAAACGGAAAATCTTAATAGTAGTAATTGACCAGGAATTTCCAAAAAAACTTCAGGCAATCAATCAAATACATATTTCATAGTAGGTATAAACATCTCATTATAATAGTCATTGAGGTTCGCAAGGCCTCCTTAATAATGTATTTAATTAATAACAAATTTGACGAACTTCGCCGTCTATCAATAATTCACCCTTAATTTAAAATGTACGGTCAACTCATCAAATCTCTTCATTACTGATTTTAACAGGAGAAAGTTCCAATTAAAAGCTGATGGATATAATTTGAAGACTTCTGTGAGGCCGTGGTATCACTCTGGTCGAGCCGGCCCATTCGTGCCGAAGCATGGCTCTCCCACATTTTTGGTGCACAAAAGTATTATTTTTCTTACCGCTTCATGAAATAAAAGCCCTATTTTTGACAAGAATACTGCCGTATTCAATCACTGTACAAAATTACGAGTGGCACCTCGCTCATTCATCAAAGATGCTTATAACCCTAACTTGAAGATCTACCTCCGTAACTCCTAATCAAATTACATTTTGGGAGCAAGTCGTTGCAGTAAACCAACATTTGGGTATCGTGGGTGTAACATGTAACTTAGTAAGAAGCCGGCAACACACGTATGTAGGTACCTAACTACCTAAGCAAATCCCAATACGTTTGCTTGAAATAGTTGCTCTTGTAGCGTAAAATACGGGTATCCGCTTGACGTACACACCACTTGCCTAATTGATGGTTATCCCTTCCTTAATTTATCTTGCTCTATCGAATCATAGGAGAGCGGCCGGGCGGAAAAATCAATAAGACGTTTGTCATATTACGTCGTGATGTGTTTTGGGTGGATTATATTAATATACAATGTTATATCTAATATAGCGTATGTGTACTAAGATTAAGACGCTGTATCTCTATTCTGGAGATACGAGGCACGTAGGAGCGTAAAGTGTCAATAAAGTTATTAGATACAACACTACCAATGCATGACTATCTTACTAATCTGACTTTTACTGCCATAATCTTTAGTTATATTCTCATTTGAGACAAAATCACCTTACCGTCACAGCACACTAAGCTATTAGCAAAACCTAAATATTTATAGATGCTCTAAAAATAACGACATTTGTATCCTTAAACACGACGTTCTAAACGAGGCAAACAGCCGTTGAAAACTTTCCGCGCCAACATCTCGTTATAAAACAAAATTCAACGTGAACAAAATTAGGGCTGAGAACAGAACAATATAAAATGTAAGTAGAAGTATCAAGGAACACGATGCACAGATCTTGGCGACCAGCCAACAGAATGCAATGCAGATGACTTGAATGTTGAACCAAAACAAGGAACCATTTGACTTCCAAAATCGGTGACAAAAACTCAAATAAAACCGCGACACTCCTTTAGCTCGACAGTGGCAATAGATCACACAAAGTTTAGTGCCACGACGAAAAATGGCACTAGATTTGACGTTTACGTTTCGTTTTCGAATCGCAGAAATAAGTTTATTGTGAATGCATATATACATTTATTCAAACTCAAAAACAATTTTTAGCATTTGATAAAGTTACGAGTGTGCAGGGTTTGTGGGTACCTGTGGTTATTATAGTAGTAATGCTCAATATGCTATCGAATCTAATTTTAGCAATAAGAATATATATTTGACTCATCTAATTAGGTACGAAATAGGTACACTAATATATAGATCTTTTGGAGCATAACATTTATTTTATATGACTAGGTTTGAAATAACTATCCATTCTTAACCAATAATTGATTACTATCAACATTATAATTAGCCTCAAAAAGAGAAAGTGGCAAGTTAATGATGAGGACTCTACTCTTTAAAATACTGTTTACAGCCTCATTAGTCCAGAATCCTGTCAAGGGCCCTCTTTCTCACCGTCATTTTACGTCATCTCAGCAATAAAAGCGCTTTATTATTCTTACGTTTCTCTTACAAGCGACCATTAAGCCTTCACAACTTTTTATTTAGCAGTATCCTTTAAACAAGACTATGTTAATATTTTAATCTGACTTTTGATGAGTTTCTGCCAGCTTTCAAGCTAATAAAGGTAAGTAACGAGTATCTTCTTATTAACTTAATATTTGCCTAAAGTTCTTTTCTTTACTGACAACGCACAAATTAAACTGCACAGCCTTGAAAGAAGGAAGCTGGTTAGTCAAAGTCAAAGTCAAAATATTTATTTCAATTAGACCAGAAAGGCACTTTTCAACGTCAAAAAAAAAAGTGAAGCTATTACTGGAATAGACCCAAGATACCTTGCCTGGCAGACACCAACGACCTTACAGAAAAACATTAGCAAACAATTAATTGAATTTACCTACAATATCAACCACGAACGTTGATAAAGCTAATTAGTACTTAATACTTTAACACCATAAGCATTGTAGTTTCCCAATTAATAATGGACAATTTATGGATGCGTGCTAATTACGTAGGTATATCTATCTGATATTTTAATGCTATTTGTGAATTTTGACTTCAGTTGGGTATTAGCCTAATAGTTAAATTCAATACTTTTTTGAACTGTCAAAAACGTCAGTTTTCTATGAATTTTGTACGAGATTGTGTATTGTGACGTCACGTTTTTAGAAACGTCAAACAGCAAACTTATTTCTTCAAAAATTGCCGGAAATATACTAAAATAAGTTGGACATAAAATCAAACAATGAAAGTGTGATTCTTTTTTAATATTTTATTGTACTGAACAGTCGAAATAATTTATTTTTGATTAAGGAAAGTATCCATTTGTTTGATATTATTTGGATACCAATTGTAAAATTTACCTAACACTTTTAATCCCTGAACAATACACAGAGGTAACCAATACACATGTATCACTAGATAATCCTTAACATTGTACTATATCGCCTATTAAACTTATTACCTAAGCAACTGTTTCCGTAAAACAAAGAAACATGAATAGTTCTCTACTAATAAACGTTTAATTTTCCTCTCAATGATCGAGATAAAAATCTAAGATTAGATAATTTCCAAATACACAATAGCAGAAGTAATTACTAATCATACGTTCCCTACGCTTTGTTAGCTCACATGACGTGTAATCCCACAGAGCTAGATTACACCACATTTTTGACAACTCGTTGTACAGGCAACAGGCTGTACCCATCCAATTAGATAGAGTGTTCTCCGCGCACCTCCACCAGAACTGCCTTTGACAATGTTTCGTAAGGCTTACACATACTGAATAACATATTAGGAATTCAAGATATTATGGAGCTAGGATAACTACATAGTTGGACAAGATAAGTAACAAATACGACTATTTTTCAAAATGGCTTTAACGCTCCCCGTATCACATAGAAAAGTTCAAATCATACATGACTATGTCAATCTTGGTATTAACTTTTCAATAGTATTCGATTATTGTATCCTACTACCCCTAGTCTAGCAATGTTCTTTAAACAAGCATATTGTGTGATTTTATGGTCGATATTTTAGATCAACCTTGAACTTATCCATTATTACCAATCAGCATTTAATATAGAAGATTTAACAACATTGAACATTTCTGTACTAAAACAACACTACCTACGCTGTTATCGAACACAGGCACAATATTATGTGTTATAATAGTCCTAAAAGGGCAAATAAACACGAAATAAAGAGAAAAGCAATTTGCGAGAATAGACAGACCGTCTCGAACGTTCGGTACTTATACTTTTCCAAGTTTCCATCCCAAATAGCGGTTAGCAGCACATTAACATTATACCAGGCTTTAGATAGTTATCGGCATTTCGAATTTTGTTAAGATTATTACTAGGTATATTTTGTTCTGTTACTAAGTGGTTTAATGGCTTATGAACTCACATAAACATACATAATTACATATACATACGTAAGTATTTATACATACACAGTCGAGTTATTTGGTATGCAATATAAAAAATAAAGATTTGATTCAACAAGTGAACAATAGCTATTGTTATTATATTATTATGCATTTAAATGATGCTAAATCTTTTGTATAAGCATTGGTTGACTGAGTAACCAAAACCAAGTACTGAATTGGGCTGTCTTTGTGAATTGTGTTATATAAGTAATCAAGTAACTACGTATGTAGTAATAGAATGTATATATATGTTAGATATATTCATAATAGCTACCTACCAAATTTAGCACATCAATGCACACTGAATTGTACATAATATTAATTACTAGTAATAGAATCGAGTAAGAAAACAAACAATAGGTAATAATTGGGATGATAACGAGATATGAAAATTAAAAATGTAATTAGTCCGTAAGTTAGGAAATGAAAAAAAATATTAGACACGTATTTTTTTTATTTTGTCGTTTAATAAAACAATACTAAAACGGCTAAAACGTCATTTCTACGTATCATAGAAGTGACGTCACACGACATTTCAAATCAATATATGTATCGTCGAAAGTATTCGTTTCTTTAAGAAAATCACAAATATATGTCTAATGATTTAAAAAAATTAGGCATCTACCCTATTATGTACATACATTTAATGTTACAAACAGCATTGCGAATTTTATCGAGCGGACTTATAGCGGACTCGATATTTTATGCAGAGACAAGAGCTGGGCCAGCTGCCGGTGACAAGCGGCCCAAGTTTTGTCTCTGTTTTTGTCACAACCCTTTAGGCTGACACTGATTGTAACCGAAATTGAAACAACATTTGTTTGGAAAACCTCTAATGACGTTTTATTTGTCTCGTGATGTGTGTTTAACATAAACTTACGTACAACATGTATTTTTTTCCTTTATTCTTTGAAAGTTCGGTTTTTCAAATATTGTTACTGTCTGAACCGAAAAAATCTTCTTTTACATTTAAAGTGTTGATGAAGATTTTACACTGTAACATTATAATGTCTTGACTCACGTATCTGTGATATCTACTTACTAACCATTTTTTTTAACTATCAATGTAATATAAATTAAATCATAATACCTATTACACCTACTGTTGCACATCTCTTCATCACCCCATGGTTGACTGTTAGAGAATGCCACCCGGTATTAAGTCCGCCATCGTATGTTATACACAGAAGTGTAAATAAATAAATAAATAAAACAATATGTTTGGGACAACTTCTAGTGATAGGATCCGGATTTCCATTAACCTAGAACTTCAGTTGCGGTATATACCTCGATAAGTAAGGAAAAGAAATCCACGAGAATACAGTTTGGAACAATGAGAACAGTTCTTGCGAGACATCTATTGTTTTCCGAAGATATCTTTCCAACGAACGCATATTCACAATGGACTGATATTGGTTTACAGCTTTTAACGATAAAATATCTTTCCTATGTCGCACAATATATTTAGAAGGTCTCTACTTGCCACCACTTTAGTTTCAAATTCCGTAGGGACAAGTTATCTCGGTGCGAAAATAAAAACGGACCGATGAAATTATTTATTTTAACGGTTTTTTGTAATCTTATTTCTTTGGGTAAGTTTAAAAATATAACGTTTTTCAATAAACAAGAAAATAGTATAAAACTTATTTATTTTCGAAAGAGTAGGAGATTATTATTTAGTTTATTTAAAGATTTTAGGAAACAAGCCTTTTACAATACCTTCTGGATCTGGATATCGAAGACCAAATAAAGGAGGTAGTTTACCATTAATTAATAATTCAATTTTATAATTTCCCATTTCAGGTTCCCTACAAGAAACATATAAGGAACATGATTATCATTTAAGTCCATCAGAAGTTGGTAAAAGTCCAGGAAGCGAATGGCCAGTACAAACATACAACACCTTTGGGGGAAGCGTTTACGATCGAATAGCAAGAGCTTCTGTACCAAAAAAACCTTGTACCAGACGAAGTAATTCTGGAGATGATCCTATCAGTTCCCATTACCACCGAAGATAGAAACAGAATTAAACACTGTTATCGTGTCTTCAACGCCAAAACCTCAACCTAAAAGTTTAAGAAACAGAGCAAATAATTTAAATGCAGTCGATTCTTATTCTAAACCGAACCTTCCTGATGACAGTATATATAAAAGTAGAAATTCTATAACAATAACCAACCCTGTAATAGACTCATTTGAAGAAAATCATCGACAAATATTAACAAAAGATGATGAGGATGATACAACTGAACCACTGCCAGTCCCGTTATTACACCCTATGCCAGTCACGGCCCCTTTACCAAATCCAACACGAAGAAATCTGAATCAATCTCCTAATAACAAAAGTTACCTACCAAAACCAGTTAGTCCAATTCACAGCGCACCGGATACTGAAAATGAAAATCAATTAATTTCGACGTTAAATAGCGCAACAGTACCAAGAACTGAATATAATCCACCACTAACTAGTGATTCTAATCCTCTAAAAACGTACAATTCATTACCAGAATCTGTTGCTAAGTCAGAACCAGAAGTAACTTTAACAGCATCAAATAAATGTGATCAAGACAAAGAAGTCGAGGACATAGGAAACACAAGACGATCTATGTCCAACCACGATGATGGAGAAAAATTCCCCAACAAGGACACTCACGCCCGATATACAGAACGCAACACTGATAACGAAAACGCAATGGCATCTGTTCTGAATGTAGAAAAGAGTTCAAAGAGTGATGATGCAGTTCTTCTGGATAAAACAAAGCTGTTGCGTGAGAGGACAGAATCTCATGTTAGGCGACCGCAGTACAGTGAAAGGCGAAATGAAATTATGGAACCTACGAAGGGAGATGGAGTTGTAAATATGGGACAATCATCGCTAATGATGATGCAGACAGATCGAATATGTTACGCTTGTAGTACCGCTAACAATCCTTCCTGTACGGATCCTGACAGACGGACCACAGTAAAGTATTGTCGAAAAGAAAACAACGCTTGTATTACCAAAACTTTTGGAAAAGGAAGTAAGTAACGACATCTGCATGCATTTTTTTATCTATAAACTCAATGCTGTTAAATTAATTATTATGTTTTCGGATTACTCACGTAACTCGACTAGTTTCAAGCTATGCTAGAGGCTCATATTCATGAGCAGCATTCCGCGACAAGCGACGCGGCGTCTGTCGCGCTGCTACTAGCTTACTCATGTAAGCCGAAAACATACTTAATAATTAATTTAGTAGGTCTCATAAATGTTGTAATATATAAATGAAAGTATTTTTAATTTCAATAGACATTTGACGAACAATACTCCTACACTGAGATGGAAGACAATGAACATAGAAGACTAATAAGAAACCTTCATTAAAAGTCCGTATTCTGTTACAGACACATTCACCCTGATCCGTGACTGTGGCAAAACATGCGATGACGCTGATGCGAACTCGCTGATGCCACGGTACAAGACATGTTCCATATGCCACTCCGATCTGTGCAACGGCGCCTACTCGATCAATGGACATAGCATACTATTTGCCTTTATCTTAACAGCGTTAGTGAAATATTTAAATTAGTCGTGCAATCCAACTTTGTTTGATTATGATACCACTTTTAGAAGTTTATCAGAAACGATGGCATAATCGATAAGTTTTCTACATGGTCCTGTAAAGTATTTGTGATACCCCCTAGTGTTATAAATGTACTTAAGATATAGTGTCCGCTTACCATCAGGCGGGCTTTATGTACTGTTTCTACTGATAGTAGTATTAAGAGAATCATATCGCAGGTTTATTTTACTATTTGATTGATGCAAAATGCAAATGGGAGAAAATACTGGCTTTATTCACGTTTCAAGTTCCTATTTCCTCAGTACAATGCAGCAATGGCTCCGTTACGGATGCGCAGAGATTCCTCCACTTTGTAGTTTCATTCGTTTTGTATTCAATAAAGCTAGCGTTTGTTTGTTTAATTACATTGTTTCTACTCAAGAAGTATTCCGACAAACATTGACTGTGTTTAGGTTGTGTGTGTATTTGATTAAAATATGTGCGAAACAAATACTTTGGCTAATTCTTCTTAAATTCAAGTGTAATCTACTTTATTAACATAATTGTAATTAGATTTTAATCATATAATTATTTCGTTTATTATTTCCTTTTTAAGTAGGATAATTTAATTATTTATAATACTAGTATGTATACAGTTTAAAACAATAAAGTTTTTAAAGTCAATTGCAAACCAAATTTATATCTTTTAAAAAAACGAAACCCGAATGAGAGGACCCGGGGAAGAGAAAGAAGATAACATAATTATTTCAACAATTAATACGTAGGTATCTACATTAATACATATTTGAGGCCGAGAACACATCCCTAATATATGTAAGTGGTGTTGACATACGTGTGGGTCAAGCACATTAAACCTTTCAAAAGATTTGAAAAGATCACGTTCCTTTTGTCCGAAATTACCCACGTAGGACGTCACCTACCAGAGAATGTTGAACGACCAATGACAATACTGGAAAAATGAGGTCACTCATTGTTATTCAAATGGCTGCAATAATATTAAACATAGCTTTTGGTTAATCACAGTTGTGAATTTAATTGTACAGTTCGCATTGTGCTCTCATGTGTAAATTACCTTTTTATCAATCTGCAATATTCTACTACAACACTGCAATATCGGAGCCAGTATCATAAAGTCCAAAAAGGTAAAATATTTCGTATAAAATACCATACATATTTTAATATAGTTGCCGATGTCACCAAAATGCAATAATCTGAAAATAATTTTTACGTCTCTGTGAGTGGGGATTTCATTTATAATATAACGTCGACCCCTGATGGATTACTTTTGGTTGTCCATGAATATTGCACCAAAAATATTTCGTTAAGCTCGAATATTTTCACATGGTTAAACTGACTGACGATATTTTTGCAAAAAACCTATAAATTGCTGGGTACTTGGAAATAGTGTTCAACTTCAATATGTCAGCTCTTTCCAAATGGATTGTTTGATAGGCTTTTGATTGTTATTAACATCGATTACAGGTTTAAAAGAGAGTAGACCTTAATTTTAGTAGTTTTATAGCTATTACTATCTATTTATTAAATGCTCTGAAAAAAAGCCTGACAACTATTTATTTTAAGAGTAAATATTGTATAATAATGTGATTAGTTATGTAAGTAATATCAAATACCACATGTAAATATTCATTTATTCCTTTATTCAACCAATAACCTAATTACCTACAATAACAATTAACATATTGACTAACAACTTCAAAACAAATGCCAGCAAATAAAACGGATTCACAGTAACAAACAATTATTTCCAATCGCTACGCATCACCGATAACCCTTTTTTAGTACACCACAAGGAATTTCTTTACTGATTTGTTTAGGTAATAAAATGTTTATATAGGAATTCAATATGAACTGGAAACAAAGCAAGGTTACGTTCGAGACAGCCCTAGGGAGGAATATTGTTTATTCATGTATAGGAGAAACATTGGTGAGCACTCCAATCGGTGAATGGTTGTGAAGTCTCGTCTCAGGGGTGTATACATCATTATAAAAAGTGTGCAAATTCACTTGACAATCCGTTGAAGATGGCACAAGTAATTTGTATGCTGTGAAAGATTTTCCAGACATATGCCGTAGTTAATTTTTCCATTGGTATTTATATTAATTCCCTGTTTGGATTCGGAGACAAATCTGATAAACGATAGGTCAAGTTTAATACAATCAATTACGGTTTTCCAAATCTGACCTTAAAATAGCCCAATGTTATTTCTACAAATTAATTTATTATCATCTCCACCAAGACTTGACTTCTAAGTTACCAGATCTTCTAGCCTTTCCTAATAGATGGTGTACCACAAAACTGAACATCAATTCAATACGGGTCGTTCAAAAGGTAGGATATCGTGAAATTGCTTGAATTTTGCAGCCGATATCGGTCGTGGTTAGCACCCGTCGTCTTCATTGTTGGACAGACAATGAATCACGATGACCAATTGTCCTTTAACTATAGGACCTGTGGGTATCTTCTACATGAATTGTCCGTTGAAGTGAGTGTAATGGGTCTTTTATTGATAAGCAATTCTTGTGCTGGCATTTGTTTTGCGTTGTTTCGAAAATTGCTGTAACAATTTAGATGACTTTTGTGTTATGTGCGAGAATCGTGTTAAAATAATCATGATTACAATTATGCAATGTGAAGGTGTGAATAAAAACTGTCTTATTAAATGTGTATTTTAGAAACAAACCGTTATCCATCTATTTTTTTTATTAATCATTTGCGCATGGCACTATATCTGTTCGAAACCTACCTGATTGCGTTACCAACGAAACAAACTATGAATAAATAAAAGAGCAAATCCAACTGAAATCAAATAAAAACACAATTCGTCTCCCAATACCCAATAGGTTTGTCAGTAAAACTCTAAAGCAATTTAATAAACAATTAGAAGAGAGTGAATGCCTTAAAACAGATAGAGAAAGTGAATTTACAACGCACAATTATCAGACGAAGCTGATCGTAAAGCCTGAGTTAAAACCTCTTAATAGCTACGTCGCCAACAATTTATTTAAATTCCTACTCACAGATAAATTAGGTACAGAACTGGAAAAAATATTTGATTTGCAATTAACGCTCTTATTTGCTTGTACTTAAAATTGAGAATGCGAGATTAAGTATTCATTAGTGAATATGCACTAAACAAAACTTGTGTCGTGGTGGCCCGGAGGCTTAAGACGCCCGTTTCTCATGTATGAAGGTGTGGGTTCGAAACCTACCAATGGCTAGTACCAATGTGACTTTTTCCGAGTTATATGTACTATTTAAGATATTAAGACACAACTGAGAAACGGTGAAGGAAAACATCGTGAGGAAACTTGGGCTCTACTTTATAATTATAAGTTGGAATTCGCCAACCCGCATTGAGCAAGTGTGGTGGTTATTTGCTCAGCAGTGGGCATTTATAATCTATTGATGAAAACAAACTTGACATGGATAAGACAAAAACAGCATAAAAAGCCAACAAGGTCTATCAAGCTGGCTAGTTTTCATATAAATTCAAGCTAAGTGTACACGAAATAAGCAATGCAAGGCATTAAAATAAAATAAAAATTATTAATATCACTTTGTCTTTATAGATAGAAAAAAAAAGTAGAAGGGTCAAACTAAAAGTACCCTTAACCGACGAGCATGCATGAAAGACTGTTGATGAAGCGAAATAGGTATGCAAGAATCGTAGCAATTAGCGATTGAAGTTATGTATGTCTTTAGACAGGGTGAATTCACGAATTATTCACCTACCTAACTCTAGGACAACACAAAAATGACTTCAAATAAATCTTAATACACAGGACCTAAGACTTAATCTCCAATAAACAAAACAGAACTAATCTTCATAACGCAATATTTCCACCGCTTAAAGAATAGCCATTACGAAGCCATAATTTGAATTAATAAACATTTCCCTATATATCTCACTGAAAGACTTGTTTACGGGCATTATGTTATTAGAGTTAACGAGGGCGAACAATAAATTGTACTTAAACCAACCTTAGCTATGTATTTTTAATTTAATGGCTTGTGACCGAGCATCAGGAGTTATTGTAATTGTTACCTCCAATTTATATCGCACACATAAGAGCAAAATTACTCCTTATTTTCCTAAGGTTAATAATGTTGTGCACTTTAAATGATTTCTGTCGCTTGCCTAGGTCCTAGGTGATAGAAATCGAGGTTATTGTTCACAGTTGTCGCGGAGAAGCTAACGGGTTACCGGGGCTCTGACTTGAAGTTGCAGGAGAATAAACGGGGTGGTTTTTAGTCGGTAAGACTCCGACACTCCCTTCCGGAAAATTATCGGATTACTTGTCCTGCCTGGGTGAGGCACCCAGGCAGGACAAGTAATCCGATAATTTTTCCCACTTAAAAAAAAATGTTCACAGTTGCAGAGTTTAATTTATGTAATAAAAAAGTTACTGTCAATCATCAAGAACCAGCAACGTACATAAACTCAAACAGCAACTTAAAAGCCAGTAGTGAGTAGCATATGTACTTTATAAAGAGTGATTAGACTTATTCTAAAAAAAATTATGATAAGGGACAGAACAAAATTCCGTGGAGAATTAATATTTAACCTATGGAGTAACCTATAGAGTTGCTTGCTCGTTCTTCTCCATAGGAATCTGCACTTTGGAATGAGCAAATAGCTTCACTTTAAAAATTTTATTATTGACGTTCAAAAGTGCCTTTCTGGTCTAATTGAAATAAATTATTTTGACTTTGACTTTGAGTTTAATATTAAAAATCGTAAATAACAAACATACACATTTTCGCATTTATAATATTAGTAGGATAGGGACAATCAAAACAACCAAGAACACTTTTCCCGACTAAGGAATTAAGGTTCACTGGTGACCATTCAAAAACCGTAACTGGCAAAGTAATTTGTAGGTATGTACACTGCAATGGCTGACACACAAAACAGGATATTGATATTTTATAGGTCAATCAACCATGCTTTTGTCATATAACTGACAAACTGGTTCAGTAAAAGGTTTTCGTGGATATAAAGCAATTG